GCGTGCCATACCCTGTGTATGTAAAACAGAAATCAACCTGGGAAAACAATCAAGTCACTTTTTTCTACTGCAAGGCACACTTGCAAGCTCTGCCATCTACTCCAACTCCATAAGCTTCGCTTCACCTCAAGCAGTAAAGCTGTTTACATGCAGCAGTGATTTCTGTGCTGCCTCATCTGTGAGCTTTATGTCGTGCGTTGAGGAAGACTGGGACACACATCACGCTGTCATTTTTTTCCTAAACTGGATATCCCAATTAGAGGAGCCTTTCTAGCTGCAAAATTCACATGTCTCCTCTGACGTGACACAAAACGTTTTGTACTAGGCAGAGGACTTCAGCTGTACCCCATCACTTATAAATTTCCAATCTTTCAAATGTCACAGTGAGTTAAACTATAAACCTGTAGCCTAAAAAGCCATAATAATCAGGGAAGGGAGCCTGAATCTCACATGGATAAAATTTTTTGAAGGCCATGCAGCAATCACAGTATGAAACTGCATTCCCACTGAGGTGTGCAAATGCATTTCTTGGCCTCATTCTCTACTGCAGGAAAGCAGTTGGATCCATGCCCCTGCAATGCCTGCCCTCTGAACTAGAGTTCAAATGCTATCACAATATACAAGTGCAAAACACCCCAAAGATTCACATCCCAGTCACATTCCAAACCACAAACGTGTGCTACAGTGCTTAGATCACCTCTTGTCTCACCAGATAGTGATGCAGCCCTGATCACTCTTCCACCTGCAGAGATTCTGTTCCCACTTGCAGAGTTGACTGATAAACCATCATTACTACCGGTTGCTGGTTCTGCAGTTACATTTTCTGAGCTGCAATCTTCAGTGCCTGAAAAAGAACACAAAACTCTGTCTTTAGAAAACTTCTGGACTTCCCATTTGCAGAAGTACAGTCAGTTGCAGATGTCATGCACAGACCCACAGTCACTTCTGTTTTCCCAGCTCTACAGGAACCTCACTACACAGCTCCTGGTTTTACCACTTTTCCTGGTTTCACCTCTTAACTTCTGTGAGATTATTTGAACTAGATTCAAGTGATTGCCACATTATTTCAGCC